CCTGCCAAACGCACTAAATTCTCCAATACCAGGAGAACACTTTTTGTTCTCTATTAGTGTTTTTGAAACAGAGGCTTGGTTTGCTAATCGCCAGAATATTAAATTGGAACACTCTAAAACAACTTGGCGAAATAGCCTTTGGGGACGCAAGCGTTTGTCAGCCCTTCTGCCGCCTTTGTAGCCCTACGTTCAGTGTAAGCAACACACACCTGTACATATAAAGAATTGTCCTCTCAGTTCGTCAAAGGTCACACGGCTTTTGACCAGTCATTGGAAAGTGAGCTTGAAAAGCCTCTAAAAAATATTCCCTTTCTGCTGTTATTTACCTCTCAATTATGTTCATGCAACTTCAGACAAGCAGTGTTCCTTTCGGTTGCTTCTTGTACTGCAGACAACTAGTACGCGCACTACGTGACAGGTGATACAGCCCTAACAGACCGCTTACAAGGAAATAAAGTACAGCTGTTTAGGCTTAATTTCTCTGCTTGGTCTTTGGAAAAAGCAAACTTGCAGCTCCAACGTCCAATGGCCAATAAGACTTACCATGGGCAGAAGCCGGTAACCCCAATTCAACTGGTTACTTCGGACTACTTCCCGTTCCTCTGACTCTTCTGCCTCCCCCACTCCCTCTTCTGGGATAACCCCCTCTGCGGGAGCGACCACCACAGATATGTGATGGTGGTGAGTTGCGTGGTGTATCCACAGAGCGCCTAGCTCCCATAAAGACTGCTCCTGAGCTCAGCGAATCACCCAGGCCTACAGTAGGGTTGAGGAGGCCCGCATTTGGCTGTCGGACTGAATCCTCAAAGTTATGGTCGCCTACATATTGCTCGTTGGCACATAAGATAGCAGTAGCGGCGGCACTATTTGTTTGCTCTGCGTCCGCCTTTATCAAGTCCAAAAGGTTATACGCCACCTGCCGTCCAGAAGGCTTCATGTATTCTGAGAGATCGTCGTCACGCTCACGCCGCCCCCGCCGTCCACGGCCTCCTCTCGCTGTTTTCCTCTCAGTGCTGATCTTCTCAGCACCTAGACTATTTGGATCCACCTTCTCTAGTTGCCTCAAACGATCTCGTTTCAGTTCTGTTGCATCGGTTTTGATATCCAAAGACCGGGTTGGTTGCCCAGCACGAGTGTCGTTCGACATCTCTGTTGGAGAAGCAGTTTCGCGCTTCATCTCTTTCCGTGATGGATTTGTCGTCTTCTGGTGAGCTCCTGTGATCACGCTGGTATTAATTTCTACCTGCTGCACTTTAGCAGCAAAAGAAAACGGAACGAACTTTGGGGGGCCAGTGTCGCCCTTGTCGGACTTTACCCGCTGCTGAAGCTCTGTGTGCTCGTTGAGGATTTGCTGGAGCAGTTTTCGGCGCTCCTGCACGTCTGCTTTCAAATTAAACGCTTCTCGCAACTGTTTCGCCCCTCCCGCCAGATTCTGTAAGTATCGGGGAGTTAACAGAGCCATTCCACGATAGAACACCAGACCCGGCAACAAGAGCAGTTTGACACCTGGCAATAGAGGCACTATATCAAGCTGCTGACAAAAACGAAGCTCAACAGCAGTAAAAGACGTACCGCGGCCGTCCGTAAGCTTCAGTGAAAGTAGCCTCCTCTGATTCCCCTTTATCCCTTGAGCCCCATCGGAAAAGTCCTCTTCAACATCCTTCGTAGGCAGCCGCACATCCTGGAAAGACAAAACCATGCAAAGTAGGGGCCTTCTGAGTGTATAATTGGTTGCCGTAGATTTGACATTTTCAGCTGGACCGTCAATGGCAGCGCATGCCGCAACCTCTGGGGGAGCTTGCATGGATTTGCTGTGTAGCGCGCTGAAGTTTGTCGGGTCCGCAGGGTGCGGGGCCAGATGCAAACGCCTCAGATCAGCAGACAAAACATAGTCCTTGACTGCAGCGGGGGAAGAAGCACCAGATTGTTCAATAGCTGCGAACCCTTCGGGAGTGAAATCCAGTGCCCATGGCACCAGGGCCCCTTGTATTGCAGCCGCCTCCATCATGCGCCTTACCTATTGACGCCGTCGTCCTTCCCCGATTGGCTTGAACCAAAGGGTCTCCGACGGTGTGGTCTTGACAACTCCAAAGCAGCACAAATAAGCTGATGTGTGGGCTAATGATTCGAACCTGCAGCGTGGGACGAAAGTGCCAGTCTGGAATGCAAGAGGCGCGCGTAACTATTTACTGCCAGTTTTGCCTCGAAACGCTTTGACTTACCACGGAAAATTAGGTCCATATGATTCTACAGCTACCGTGTTCAAGCTGCGCCAGCAACCGTCGGTATCTCTCAGTATCAGGCAGACCTGCCAGATAAAATCTTTACGCATATTACAAAATATAAGCAATAATTTCCATTAAGGCGTTGCTAAAAAAGGATTATCATGCAGGACAAACGTTGCACAGCAGCCTACATCACGGCCCGTCCAAGCCCTGTCGGCTTCCTTTCAAGAGCACACTGTCTGCAAACAACTGTCTACTGCACAAGATCTACTCATTATCTACTATATTTTTTCATCAAAAACACAGGACTCCACCGCTTTGAAGTTTTGTTGCTCTCCCGGCGAGCGCAACGACTTGCCGCGGAACGTACTTTTCTGACCATCGATTATGTTTGACAAGCCAATAAGCTGCTAGGGGTCGTAGTGGTCATTCTGTATAAAAGCCTGCAGTTTAGCGTATTCTCAGGCATTCGGCTGCGAGCATACCAAGCATAGGTGGTTTTTGCAACGAGGAGCTGGGACAAAGGATGTTTGAACATACTCCCCACCGGACCCCGTCTGGGGATTTAGAATTGCTACATAACGAAACGATCGGCATAAAAGTTCCAAATACATCTGTTGTAATACGGGGCAAACTTGCAGGTGCGTAGGTAGTTTCGGCAGTGGGCAGCTGTCCTCAACGCCGATCATTTACAAAACCTCGTAGGCAACTGCTCTTGCCAGATTGAGGGTTGTAAACGCACTAAACGCTCTCACTATTTGGGAGATGGGGTGATTTGACGTCGCTGAGTTTCTTGTGGGGTGTGTGGAAAGCAGGTTGTGGCGAACTGTTCGTTACGTCGCAACGAGTGGCTTGGCTTGCTGATAATGCCACGAGCTTCGCTCTGAATTACATCAGTATAGTGCTGCATGCACTTTCAACTGACCCCCGTGCGCTCATAGCAAGTTGGCACAAGCTGTTTTCCCGTCATTGGCAGTGTGAGGCCCGTCGCCACCCTTCTTTGCAAACGCTATCGCAAGAAAGATAGCTTCAGTGCGCATGGAAATATCTTCGTTTTCTTTTTCAGAGGCCTGCGATAGGCCATGCCTGTATTGTCAAATTAAGGGAGACGCCTTACCAACGCTGGCGAATGGACATCCCAGTGGCATCGCCACCTCGGAATCAGTGGAGGCGCCTGAAGAAGATGAAGGATTAGCGGATGATGACGCAATGATTGAGTTGAAGTTCATCCCGGATGACTCAAGGTAATGTACTTTAGTTGCGTTAAGATATATGTGGCTAGCGAAACCCCATTTGCAGTTTAAGACGCTTTCGGTTAATCAATTACGCGTGTTTCTGTGCGTTCCCGGACTATTTTTGCAGTTATTTACAACGACTGTTCGCGGTCATGAGCGAAATGGCAGCTTTGCACCCGGAACCTGATTCGGGAGCGCTTGATGGTGACGAAGAGGAGCTATTCGATGAAGCAGCCTTACGTCGACAGGTACTTCCAGCTTGGGCCATGTAAACTGGATGCATGCTTACGGATGATTTTTGTGCTTTCCAGTATATTTGCGTGGTGTGTCATTTGCCCATTAGCTGAATGGCGTGCAACATATGGCTGTTGGTGCGTGTTCTGCCCCATGAACAGGGCTGGGAGTTCGTTGAAAATGAAGGAGATGACGCGGCGGAAAGTGACGCCGTCGACGCTTGAAAGGCATCCACCCGCTTTAGAGATTCGGAAGGCCCCTAAACAACCCGCGCACGAGACCAGGTTTAATTCTACGAATGGTAGTTTTAGATTCTTGTCCGTAGTACAGCGAGTTATTTGAGGCTAGAGGCCAAGGAGGCTTGCTGCCAAGGGGGTGCAGCGGGTGATTTACAGGGAACTGTTGACAGCTGTTCTAGGAACTGTTGGCAGCTGTTTCACCTTTTGGGGGAGGGTTGACGCATACCCCTGAATAACTTAAGAATCAGGTGTTCTAATTCCCTCTCTTGCAAGGGTGAATTCGCCGTTCCAACAGCGTCGTGACTTTACCAAATTGCCTTTCCTGCTGTGGCTTCAGTTCTTGTGGCGTTCACCAGGTCCATAGACAGAAAGACTTCGGGAGGCCTTCTGGCAGCTCGCAGTCCAGCTTGGTTGGTTGGAACGAACTGGCGCGCTGAAGCTGCTCTACTGTACAGTATGCCAGTACGCACGTTGTTCAACAGTTGGTCTAGCTATAATCCTTTTGTCACGGCACCTGTTCCGCTCTCGCGCGCTTTGTGCTTCATTTGTGCTAAATTTACGATGACTGTGGTGAGAGGGCATCAATCGAAGAGATGTTGCCACCGTGACCACCGCCACGTATTTTCCACAGAGCCTCCTGAAGTACTTGGTTATAGCACTGTATTCTGCCAAACTGAATTCTAGATCTAAGCACCAAGAAGCCGTTGGGATCACCCTCACGAAGTGGAACGGCGTGCTTCAAAATGTGCAAAATTTCATTCGTCACTAGCTGTCGAAAATTTGCCCAGTTGACGAAAAAAAGCCATGTACGGCCGCAGTCATGGACGTGGGAAGCGTGCTGATACCTAATGGCAAATGCCTCCCGTGAACCAGCCAATCCTGCTTTGGATCTTTAGTCAGACCAACGACATGCCATCGCAAAATTTCTTCACAAGCCAGTGGCGATGCAGCTGAATGCACTGACTACAAAGCAGCGGTTAGTGGGAAGAAAATATACATCGCCATTTTGTGTAGTGCGGATCAGATGCTGTAAGGGACAGGGCTGGTGCCGCTGCACGCGCGACTCGTCAGACCTGTGGATGCTGTTCCGCGGCACGATCTGCCTCGACCCGCCGAAGCACGGAATCAAGTTTCTCGTGCGCCTTCTTCAAAACAGAGTTCCGAGGATGCCCAACTAAGTGAAAAACAGTTTCAGCAAGTGGGGCGGCAGCACCTGAGCCGAATGAGGCTTCCTCAAGCAATCCTGCCATGATTGTCAGCATAGCTGTGTATGCCACAAAATGAGAAAGCATGGGGTTAAGCAAGGCCACGTCAACGCTTTCCAGGTCGAGGAACATTGCAGCCAAGCGCATGAAGATCGGCGTTGGTCGGTAGGAAGGCCGTGTCCAAATCCTTCCACTGAATGGGGGAGCGCCTGGAACTGTGGATGCAACCTCCACTTTGTCCATATCCTCAATGTACAACTGAGGACGTCATCGCATCCACACAATTAGACCTACACGCATGAGCTAAATGCACTACCTCGGTGCTACTTGCACGCACGGCATTGCTAGCTGAAAGCATGGCGTGTTGAGTAGCGGCAACTTAATGGAAAGAAGCGCATACTGCGACCTAGTCAGTTGTTTGCAATTGCAGTTACTTCTCACCTTCATCAAGAAAGGTTTTCTGTGTGACAACTTCGTCAGCTCAGTCTCACCAAAGAGTACGCCAACTGGATCAATATCGATATTTATTTCTTGGGCCTTCACTCCTGACGCCGCCATGTCTTCGTAGGCAAGTTTATCTCCCCACTTAGAAAAAAACAGCGTAAATGGAACCTGAAGCTAATATGACGCCCAATGGCCCGCGCTATAGACGCTGCAAAACACCTCCAGTTACGGAAGTCGGCGCGTACGGTGTACACATAGAGAGCGCCATTGCGGCCTTCCTAAGGTGCAGTGCCAACGCACACAAGATTACCTCTGTGGGCAAAACTTACCGACGGGCATCCAAAGGCTACTGTGCGGATTTGCAGTAATTTCTTGTCCACAAGTGTTTTGGCTCGTTTTGCAAGGTACCAGGCGCTCAGCTGAGCCATGACCGCACCAAGCGAATGCCCAGAGAAAACAATCACCACCGGGGTCTCCCCGCCAACAATTCTCTCTTCAAGGCGATTTAACTCTTGCTCCACGAGGGGGCGAACTGCTTTATCAAATAAATAAGTAAGTCCATAGTGGAGACGCCCGCGCTTTGACAAAATTCTGTACGGCACTGCCAGCCCCATGCCGTTCAGAAGCCACTGCTGCACAAGCAAACAGGAAGAAGTCTCCTTAAAAAGCGATGTGAAAAAGGTGACTCTCCACATAGTCATGTCAATGAATGAGCGACTCCTCAGACGTAGCCTCACAATGTCAACTGGCTCCTCAAAAGCCCACCTTGCTCACAAAAGTGCCACGGAAGATCCACACAATGTCAGCGTAGTCCAGGTTGTCCCCGTCTAACGGCGTTGTTTTGCCATCCCTCTCAAACCGCCACACCCAAGGAGAATTGTGAACGCGACTATAGGATGCAGTGAGACCACACGTATCAGGTTGCACAACTGGAGGGCACTTCACCTCAGAGCCAATAACCTTCGGTCTCCAAGAGCCATCAATCCCTATACCTGCTACGTTTTTAACCTCATTCAGCATTTTACTGCCCGACGGTCCTGTAGAAATCAGCCGGCCAGCCGGCCAGCCGAACTTGCCGAATAGTGACATATCTGTTATGAATGGAATGCAACCGTCAGGAGCCTCCAAAGAGCTAGAACTGCCAGTTTTGGCGCTAGTCGCGAGTTGCGCTCGCGAACCCGTTTCCTGCACTGGTTCTATGTCATTAATAAAAGCTTCTTTGCTTGGCACCTCCGCAAATTGAGTGGCCGCAGCCACTTCCTCTAAGTTGTCCGTTAGCTTCACTCGTGAAGTATTTGCTGCGATACTATCGGCATTCCGACCACCATTCTCGGCAGATGCAGAAGAATCCACTTCTACAGGAGCTCTAGCATGGTGCACACTGTTTTTTACACCATTGCGAGCCTCTGGAACGGAAGCGACGCCAATTTCTTGGTAACGTTCTTGAAGTGAAGCAGTATTCTCAGCTTCAGTCGCCAATGCCGACTGTTCTGATGCACTTTTGTGGCCCTTGTTTTCAGCGACAAAATTCTGTCGATGTCGAAGGAGTGAAGCTGGCTCTAGCTCAACAAAGGGCTTCACATAAAATCGAGGAGAGAGGTCACGCCACCTCATGGGAACTGCACGTACCGGAGACAAAATTACAATGAATCGCTTATTTGCTGCAAACTAGTGCACAAGCTCTCCAAATCGCACCAATTGTGCAGCGCCATGACTAATGGGCTTGCAGGATCTCACCAGCTTCCGCCGTCCGAAGTACTCCTATGTTGGTGACCTTCCACGGAGGAAACATGAAAGTGCTTGCTTTGTGATTTTGCACCCAATCCCATATGTCGCTCGCTTCGTACGCAATTATATTCATTATCCATAAGGCATGCCAAGCTTTATAAATCTGTTGTCTCCATTTCCCTTTTTCTCTGCCAGCAGTATTATCGAAAGCTGAAGCGCTCGCATCCTGCGCCAAAACTGGTTCGTCTTCTTTTGGTGTATTCTGTCCCTTCCCTCCGCTTTTGTCCGCTTGTGGTTTCCCTGAATCTGTCCCAAAGTTGGGATAGTTGAAGCTCGAATCAAACAAATTATGATTTGGCCCACCCTTGAAACCATGGACCAGCTCCGAAACGCGAGCGAAAATGTCAAACTTAGGGGAAGGCGGCTTGCGGTCCACTGGGACGTTGCCGTCGTACACGCGTGGCTGAAATATAGTTGGGGCCTTCTTCGGAAAAGCAACTTCCGCCCCCATTTTCCTGAAGTATGAATATATGGGGAGCTGAATATAAGATGGGTGGTCGGGATGAACATGTCCGGGAAAACCTTGCAAGAGTCGCTCTGGATATGTCTGTACTGTCTCACATACCTTGACTGTACGGCAGAATCGCAACAAGCAAAGAGTGCTCTTAAAGTATAGCTTTTTGTAAAACAGCATGTTGGACCCCCTAAGCACCCAAACTTGCGAGACTTACCGTACAAAAAAAGTTCTGTAAGAGGGTAGTACAAGTGCTTGTGCTTCAGCAGAATGTCGTTAATTACTAATCCAGGATTCGTCTTCAGGATATTAGGCTTCAATTTCCCGAAGGTTCGGGCGAAGAAAAGAAATAAGCGCAAGCTGGGAGAGCGTATCAGCTCACGTCTCCAGTTCCTGTCCCGCGCCTTTAGCGCTAAGGCACTGCTTATACTCACGGCAAGTTTTAGCCCCGGACCCAGACCAAACCGGTGAGAATTGAGTCTTTTAATATATAGTGAATTAGTGTCTAAATTCGAAAGAGAACAGGCAAGATCAGGAGCTGCAACTGACGGCTGGGAAGGTGAAAAGTAAAGCCCACCGCAAGTGGAGTTTTTCATAAATGCTAATGGGTGCGACTTTTTGTCCGTACCTAGCCACGTCATGTCAACAGTCTGTACAATATCCCTAAGATGCGCATCTTCTGCTGGTTTGGAAGGTCCCACATAAGCGGGGCGTGCATACAACACACCCCGCGTGTGAGGAGAATGCACTGCGCAACCTCCATCAGGGGCTTTGTTGGCAGTCGCAGGCCCTTCTTTCCCTACGGCCGGCGAGTACTGTTCTCTGCCAAAGTAAAAGTTGGTACCACACACGGACGCTGGACAGTGAAATGACAATGAACCATCTGCATTGATGTACACGCAATCTTCAGGGTGCTCCGAGCCATCTGGTCCTGCAAACTTCACCCACGCACATGCTGTGGTGGTGTTTACTGCGCACTTGTGGATCTTCGGTTAGATCTGAAGCATGGCTGCTCTGGCCTTACCAGCATTACTGTCAGGAGATGTACTATCATGATATCGTTCATCGGCTGACTGGATACCTACGACCGGGTAGGATTTTAGCTCCTCCTCAAGGAGTCCCTCGCCAACGCCTTCATTTGCATCGATTAAAAGCGGAGCAAACAGCAATAAGCATGATGCGACAAGCCAATGTGCCAACATTTTGTGGACCACCACTTCCATCAGACAGGAAGGGCAAGACGGCGCAACATGGCTGAGTCGGAAACGACGGTAATGCTCCTTGACCTTAGTATAGAGCTATCGTTTTCCCCACAGAATGACGGCTTCTAAAGGTCTGAGTCAGCCGTGGTCAGTTGGCCATCTCGAGTGTTCGAGGCTTAAGTTCGAGCTCTCTCAGACCCACACCCGCGAGTTGCATCGGAAACTCCGACCCTGAAAAGTGGAATTCAAAATGCATGATGAGAAACAAAGTTTCAGTCAAAAGTACTATTCGTCGTTAGTCAAAACACTAAATCGCAACAAAGTTAAGCGGCCCTGCACGATCGGTCCTGTTCAGTCCCAGTAATGTCTGCGCAGCCCTCTGTCAATCAGATCCCATGAAGTACGGCCTCGGTTAGCTACCATAAATGACCGAATTTAATATGCTTGATAAAAAGCTTACTTTGCGGCTTGTGCTTAGAATGCATGCGAAAACACGTCGCAGACATCACAAGGGTATTGGGAGCACTGAATGCGTGAAACCGCACTATTTAATGAGAAGTTCATGACTACTTCTTGAAGCGCATTCTCCTGCTAATGCCATAATGCGCGGCAGCATGGCTTAGCCTTTTGCTTGTGTGAGTGGTGGTCGGGAAAGCATGCAAGCCTCCGCCTCAATGTGCCTCTACAGGACTTTTTATGTATTCGCATGGCACTACAGTATGGAACGAAATTCGCACAGAGCCGTCAGAATAAATGAAAAATTATAATATTGGAGGGAATAGGAGCTAAACTGGTGTAGCTTGTTGTTCCTTGCCAGCGGCCAAGACCCCTAAGGCGCAGCTCAGCGCCAGATGGAGTCACACTGTATCCGTGTGCACTTGAAGAACCGCTCTTAGTCTTGTTTTTCTTATGGAGAAAAGACACTATAACTTAGCGTATATAGCTCAACTAAGTTCGATATACTGTCTCCAGGTGTATAGTAGAGGTCAATGCACCAATGGAATCGGTGCTGGGCTACGCAGCATTGCTCGGATGAGCTGAGCACAGAAGATGAGGGCTGTCCTGGGGACGCCTTCGTATCCAAGTCAGGTCAAACAAAAACATTTTATTCTGTGGGATATTTGGTGGTTCCAAGAATCTGCATTTAAACTTCCCGCTGTGTAAAGCAAGAACTGTTGCACACAGCGATATGGTCCCAGCTACATAAGTGTATACCTCACACTACTCACTGAGGAGTGAGTAGTGTGAGGTATACACTTATGTAGCTGGGTGCACGGGAAAGGCATGCAGTAGCCAAACTGTATGATGTGAGGGCTACTTGGAGACCAAATTCTTTTGCAGCACATTGGCACAAAGTAGTCCCAAAATCGCCTTCCATAACCTCTAGCATTTAGCGTTTCAAGGTGCCCTAGTCATCCACATGCGGAACAGCTCTGCGACATATGGAATCTATTAGGCACTCTCCCAAATGTGCAGCACACACAAACTAAATCAATAAAGGCAGCAGGGACTCCCAGCCTCCCCAAATCGCGTTTACCAAAGTACCACCGAGACGGCGCAAAAGGATAGATTAACAAAGCAACATACAGAAACTCCTCCACGAATAGGTCAGGCGAGGAGAACTACCAGTTTGAGGCGGGATTCTGAGCAACAGCGTGCCTTTCCTTTCCTTGTGAGCGTGGCGCGATTGCACACGCTGGCGCCACAGAAGCCCGCAAACGAAGAAGGCGGCAATGCGAGATTCATGTTCATTGTAATAAGGGTGAGGCTTACAGAGGTGGATCTGAACAAAAGCCACCAGGAAAGCGATCGAAAGCAGTATTTTGGTGGTGATGCAATGCCAGCAGTAGGACGACGCACTTCGTGAGATGCCAAGCATGTTTCCACGTAGCGTGGATCTGAGGGAAGGCTCGCTGCTTCACCAGGCAGTGGGTGCTGTCGGCTGTGCCTTTTAGATCCAAGCTCTGGTCAACCCCATACTGGCCAGTTTGTTCGCCAGCATCTCCTAGCATTCGAATCCAAGAAGCAGCAGCGTCTTTGGCTGCCAGTTGAAGATCGAGACGCCATGTGGCACAACTTCGGGAGCGTGGAAAACGTCATGGAAAGACTATGCCCGCAGCTACTCCAGACGTATGCCACAGTGCCGATGCAGTCACCACGCAGCAGCCCAAAAAAGAAGAAAAACACGAACTTGTTGTTACCTGTTAAATAACAAGCAGCCTCTGTTAGGGTTGGGGGGAGGGGGGACGGCGGAAAGCTGTGCGCAGCACTACAATGCAGCCAAAGAATGGCCTTGGCGGTAACATATTAGTAACTTGAAGAAAGCCCATCCACATAGGTGCATATTGAATTGGACTACTGTGTCTATAAGCGTGTGGGGAGAGCACCAGACATTAGTTTGATAATGCTGTGTAACTCGATAAATACACTGAGTTGAAGTTCGAGTTGCTGTGGCGTCTCTTGGGAAGTCTGGAGTGGTTTCTGTCGACAGCAGCTACTGTCAGTACGCATTTAGCATTGACTTATGTCCTCTACATAACCAAAACATCGAACTTCAAGTTATTGCTACAGTTTGCCACCGGAGAAACAAGGTAGACTTAGTGGAGAGGTACGCCAGCCCTGCAATAAGAACAGTCTAGGACCGTTAACGCACAAGCATAAATCATAACGGATCTAGTAAAATTACAATGGCGGGCAGAGTGTGAGCATGCTGGTTATGTAGTACACAGGCAATACCATGGTCCCCCTAGTAAGCCTATAGTGGCCTATTCCATGGAATGAACGATACAGTGTAGTGGTAATATTAAATCAGAGCAATTAAGCAAGAGATAGGGCCAGCCGACTACGAGCGCCAGCTGCTTTTCAGGGTTATCGCGCTGATTGAGTTGCCGAGGCGCCGACCCGCCTTAGAAGGTCAGTATCGTCTGGTAGATCTCTTATAATCTCTTTTTCATGGATCAGAAGGGACGTGGATCAACAGCTGAGGCAAATTCTGAGGATTTAAGCAGTGGTCGCGTGATGTGTCGGGGTTCTTCTTGCAGAAAAGCACTGTGGCCTAAAAATAGTAGGAGCAGTGAATCCGCCCGCGCAGGAGATTTGGGGGCAGTCAGGGGAAGCTTTCTTTTTCTCTCTACACAGTGGCTAAGCAGCCAATTTCACTTCTGAGATTCCCGGGATACCAAGTATTGATTGCTGAAACTAACACCAGCTATGAGCGTATGCATCGGCCGAATCATTAGAGCACCTCCACATACGATGCCCAATAGAACAAATACCAGGCTGGAAGGGCAAGCAAATGCCCCACTACCTCTACCTAAGAGGCAGGAGAGTACTGTCGAGCAGCTACAGAGAGCTACATCTAAGAAACCTACACATTAGGGCAAGGAAATGCCATACTACCTCTAGCTAACGGTCAGGAGGAGACTGCCAAAAGGCACAGAGAGCTGCATCTAGGACTCCTACACCAAAAGTGCCTCAGATGGATTATGCTAAAAAAATAGTATGGTTAGTGAGGGAGGTAGCACGCGTGCAACACCCTCTACTACACAAAGACGCACCGAAGCTCTACGCAGCCATTTGGCCGCACCTGTAGTGCACAGGCACTACAATAGGGCTTGCTGGTGACCTATAAAAGATAGCTAGCTTGCGACCTAAAAGAGGTCGCAACACTGGAGGAGGACAGGACCCTCTTACTAGGATCAGAGTAAGGCAATTTGTCTGCGAATTAACATGCATACACTAGAGGTGCCTGAAAATGCGTGGAGAGTGGGGCTGGCGATAGCGCCGGCACCAGTGCAGGCCTCCTCGCCACAGGGCCTAGGAGGCGAGCACCCCGAGTGGGGCAAATTGGACGACAACAGATTCTGGAAAACTACGAATAACTGTATTTCGTTATACATAGGCTACTGTTTCAAGGAAATGGGCCAACGTTAGGTGCCGATCATAGGCCCTGCACGAGGGGGCAGGTGGCAGCGTAGTCGCAGCAGTAGGCGCTGTGCACTACATTTGGGGGCTGTTCCGGGATTGAAATCTTTGTTCTTTCTGGACTTGGGAGTAGGAATACTATGTTTTAATAGCTCACGCCTCGAAATCTTCGCTCGGTAAGTGATGCATCTCCGCAACGGACGCGTTATCGGCCCCACACTGCAGGAGACTTCTACACTGTCAATCAACAAAATGCCGAGCGGGACGCCAGCCCATCATCCCCATGCGACTCCGAAGCCCACCGTGGCAGAGCGGCCGCATGGGCATAAGGAGGCGCCCCCGCAGGTGATACCTATGACCAATGTTATGCGAGGGGACAGTCCCTTCGTCATGTGGGATCAATTCCAGTCCGCTATGAGTGTGATAAGAACTGTTATAGGGAGGGACCGTGGAATCCGGCGCAACAATTCCCATACTACCAGAAGACGGCAGCAGGCCTTTCTGCTGCGCATCGAGCGCCGGTACACCCAGATGGGATTGGAGCCGCGCGAGTGGGGAAATGCACTTATTGACCACCTTGTGAGCCGGGCTCTAACGTATTGGATGTATCTACGGAGAACTATCGACCTAAGCGACTGGGCGACAATACAGCGCAGGCTTTTGGAGCGATTTGACAAAACAATGTCGCAGAGTCAGATGTTAACAGAGTTGGCTAAAGTACGGTGGAATGGTAACCTGAAGGAGTACACGGACCGGTTTGCGGCTGTAGCGGAGCGTGGTTTGGGTCTTGCCCCCGACGAACTCGCTGACTATTACTGCACCAGGCTACCGACAGACCTCCATCTTCTAATAACCAATAACGGACAGATGAAATATCAGTCGTGGGAACAAGCGGCGACAGCCGCTACACGGCTCTACGAGCCCAATCAGAGTGTGCTGGAACTACGAGAAAGGACCAGTCGAGTCATTAGGGCTGCTATCCAAGCTAATGGACTCCGTGGGCGCCAGGAAATTGAAAATCGCCCTGGGGGAACCCACACGAACTGTTTTGAGTGTCAGGGTCGCGGACATCCGGCACGTGTCTGCCCCAGCAAAGG